TAATTTTACTAAATCAAAATAATTGTGTTGCTTCATGTTCATTTAATTTAAGTCATACATGGTTACCTATGCTAAAATCTGAATTAGACCAGAGAAACATACACCCAAATTAAGTTTACACCAAAATTATTAATTAACATTACCTTTACTAATTTAAACAATGAGATTAAGTCAAAGTCACATAACTGACTATTTGCACAGACGAATTATCAGAGCGAATTTTCATATACTGTATTATCCTACTATTGTTACACAATTTATTAACATACTCCTTTTTTAGGTTCATTTAGGTTCTTTTGATAACGATAGCAGAAAATAGCTATCGAAACGTCGAGGTAATTTTTCAAATTAATTTCTTTTCTAATTGGAATTTTCTCTTACAGCTTGAGCCTAAGTGTGTCGCAGGATACCCTCTAGGTGATAGTTCTTGATTACTTTTTGGAAATTCTGTCTTTTTTAAAGACAAAAATTTTTGAGGCGAAATACCCAACAAGAAGTTTGTAAAAAAACAGCTGAACATTATCAGGAACAGTTGATTTTGTTGAGCAACTCACCTACACCTACAATGAACATCAAGTACTTTTTCCTGGTTTTAATCTCATCGTCTTTCCTCTCGATTTCTGTGCGATTATCCCCTTCGATAGCTTCCGGATTGGGAGCAGTAATCTTTTTAAAGAGCACGTAAAAAATAACGGATGTCGCTAGCATGATAGGTTCTGGTGAGATCCAAGTGAAGGCATCATTCACAGATATGTTATTCAGTCTTACAAAGCCTACATGGCGTAGGAGTTTTTCGAGAAATTCGCAGTCCTGGAAAGGCAGCCAAGTGTTATCCGGTGGCGAAATGTGTGCTGGGTACCTTTAGAAAGTGCGCATATGGAAGCATGGCAAACAAGGCAATCTGGAAGCCCAGTTGTGCTAATGTGGTCAACGTCGTGATTACGATCAAAATTTTCAGATAGATTCCAGTATGGCCTTTCATGGTGGCGTCGGTTGGCACCGGCACAAATGGCGTGTAGCATAGTAGAAGGAAGTAAATGGCTGAGAGTACCGAAGGTCGAAATATGATACCTGCAAATTAAAAAAATATATTAGTTTCACTTTTGCTGGTTGAATTTGGTCAGTAATACAAAGATAATAAAATTGTAGGCGATTTTTCCAGTATTCGCTTTTGAATTCAACATGATGTCACATTGGACAATTTCACAGCTGCAGGCTGTAATGCAATTTTGCCAATGCAAATGCATTTTTTCAAAGCCCTTTGGGTTTTTTGCAGAAATCTATTTTTAAGTCCTTAAGGACCTAAAGTTTCGCATTAAAATTGTCTTTTAAACCCACCAAACCAACCGGTGAATCAATAGTAGGTCTGGGTAATACTGTGTCTTAAGACACTTGTGTGATAATGCAACACCTCACCCCTTACGAAGAAATTTCGGCCAAAAATCAAAATTTTACATGCGGGTTTTTTGAGCTCAATCGATTCCTTTCGACGTAAGAAGGTCACAAATATGCATTTATAAAGTGTTTGGATCAAAAATGAGGAAGAAATCGTCGGTTAAAGATCGAGAACGCTCAAAAAACGCTTAAAAGTGCCGAAAATGTCTATTATTTCGAATCTGAAACTTCTACCATGTTTTTGAATGCAATGAGTTCGATGCATTAATCCTCACTATCGTGAGCTGAAAATGATGTGAAATCTAAGACATTTTCGAAACGAAACATGAACGAAAATCCACTGTGTTACCCAGGCCTAGTAAATAGTTCATTCGAGTCCAGTTAAACAGTCGATTAGAGTTTTCTAGCCGGAGCTTTAAGAAGTTCAAAAATTAGATTATTTTGCCCGTTTTTAACGTTTTAGTTTCACACTGGCCTATTAAATCTGAACGATTTACATGAACGAGTAAAATAACGATTGTATGAACACAATATGGGTTAGTCAATAGTTTTTTATCGAACACTTTTTTTAAGGGTGTGGATGCACGCTCCCGTTTATACATTAAATGCTTGCGGAAAGGGCGACAGCAACACGATGCCCTTGATTAAATCGGGAACTCGATACAGATATTTACATTTGAAAACAATTCTCACGATGCATTCTTTATCTAAGTGAGTGTAAGTGAACAGCAAAAAATATCAGTAAAAAATCTAATATATAAAACCCCAAAAAAGTTCAGATTTTGTTCCATCGTCATAAATCTTATACAAATTTCTCAAATGTGCCTCATAATTCAGAAAGAAATGTTTCTTCTTCTTGCACTTACGTATGTGTAACGATGGTGAAAATTTCAAGTTGTTACTTACATTAGTTTGAAAGATGCGAATTTTTAAACGAGGAAGCGCAGTTTCGCAAAAACTTGCACTTTCATGTCCATATTTTCTGGGCCGGCAAAAATCAAGATTTTGGACGATTGATATGAAACTTTCAGCATTATCCCACTCAAGTATCGCCTAACGATGGTGAAAATTTCAAGTTGTTACTTACATTAGTTTGTAAGATGCGAATTTTTGAATGAGGAAACGCAGTTTGGTAAAAACTTGCACTTTCATCTCCATATTTTCTGGGCCGCCAAAAATCAAGATTTTGGACGATTGATATGAAACTTTCAGCATTTTCCCACTCAAGTATCGCCTGACGATGGTGAAAATTTCAAGTTGTTACTTACATTAGTTTGAAAGATGCGAATTTTTAAACGAGGAAGCGCAGTTTGGCAAAAACTTGCACTTTCATCTCCATATTTTCTGGGCCGGCAAAAATCCAGATTTTGGACGATTGATATAAAACTTTCAGCATTTTCCCACTCAAGTATCGCCTAACGATGGTGAAACTTTCAAGTTGTTACTTACATTAGTTTGAAAGATGCGAATTTTTAAACGAGAAAGCGCAGTTTCGTAAAAACTTGGACTTTCATCTCCATATTTTCTGGGCCGGCAAAAATCAAGATTTTGGACGATTGATATGAAACTTTCGGCATTTTTCCACTCAAGTATCGCCTGACGAAGGTGAAAATTTCAAGTTGTTACTTACATTAATTTGAAAGATGCGCATTTTTAAACGAGGAAGCGCAGTTTCGTAAAAACTTCACTTTCATGTCCATATTTTCTGGGCCGACAAAAATCAAGATTTTGGACGATTGATATGAAACTTTCAGCATTTTTCCACTCAAGTATCGCCTGACGATGGTGAAAATTTCAAGTTGTTACTTACATTAGTTTGGAAGATGCGAAATTTTAAACGAGGAAACGCAGTTTGGTAAAAACTTGCACTTTCATCTCCATATTTTCTGGGCCGATAAAAATCAAGATTTTGGACGATTGATATGAAACTTTTAGCATTTTCCCACTGAAGTATCGCCTAACGATGGTGAAAATTTCAAGTTGTTACTTACATTAGTTTGGAAAATGCGAATTTTTGAATGAGGAAACGCAGTTTGGTAAAAACTTGCACTTTCATCTCCATATTTTCTGGGCCGGCAAAAATCAAGACTTTGGACGATTGATATGACATTTTCAGCATTTTCCCACTCAAGTATCGCCTAACGATGGTGAAAATTTCAAGTTGTTACTTACATTAGTTTGAAAGATGCGAATTTTTAAACGAGGAAGCGCAGTTTGGCAAAAACTTGCACTTTYATCTCCATATTTTCTGGGCCGGMMAAAAYCAAGATTTTGGACGATTGATATGAAACTTTCAGCATTTTTCCACTCAAGTATCGCCTACACTCTGTTATGAAAAGTAGGTATTTTCTTGACATTTTTTTGAGATTTACCTTTGTTCGTGCATGGGAGGTTTGTCAACGCATCAACGTCTTTGGATGCACATAAGCGATTATTCAAATGGAGAATTGCAAGTTTTTTTGACAAGTTTGCTAATGAATCCAGTAGTCTGCTCTGTTTTTCTAAGACCAAAAATCAAATTTGCCAGTGCAGATTCTCAAGAGTTTACTACAGAGATTATTAGAGAAAACGCAAATAATTTCTCAAAGGCTGAAATCACGTAAAAAGTTTAGCGGAAAACTCGGGAAAACACTCTAAAAGCATACTTTTTAGCTGCTTTATTCACAGATTCCTACCAAAACCCACAGTGTAGGTATAAAATCTAAAAAATCTGATACATAAATGCACCGAAGGAATTAAGTACATATCGCCAATGACATGATCAATTCTAAATGATTAGATCATGCATCATAAATCTTAGATAAATCCTAAATCTTAGATTAGGCCGAATTAGATAAATATCACTTATTTACTTTATCCATTCAACCAACATTCTACCTACAACTAAACGGCCTCAGAATGAAGAAAACCATGCGAAAATAATCAAATCCTGGTTTCGTTTTTTTCGGGTCTATAAATTTCGATCCGTTTTATGCCCTCGCCTGATGACGCTCCCTTTTTTCCTGACACGCGGATAACCGAGCGGGAATTCGGAGTAAAATGCCACTCCATGATTAAAAAAAGGTCGTTTATTTTCTTTCTCTCAGCCAAAGGTTATGGGAAGCTTTTTTACGGTCTCGTTTACGAGAATGCTCAATGTGTTAAATGACTAAGTGCAATAAAACTTATTCATAAAAACGACAACTTCACAGAACGCATCAGGTGGATTCATAGTTTGCAGTAAATGTGAAAAAAATTACTTTATAACTTTTCTCCTTTGAACATATTCTAATCACAGTTAATTTATAATATTTACCATACGTAATTGCATGTGTTAAGGGCAGAAAAAATGATTCGCTTAAAGAATAACTACTGACAAAAAAGACATTCAAATGTTTCTGCAAAACATATCGATTCCAGCACTGTGTTTATTGTTTTGCTGCAAAGTACCCAACAGTTATAATTAGCGAGCATTTCCAGGATAACACGTATACATTTCTGATAATAGACAACCCGCTAAAAGTGTATGCGAATAAATTACCCATACTTTGCGTGCATTTTACACCTTGATCTTTACAACCTGATATGCATTAAAACCCCGATTCAATTATAAATAATTTAAATTATTTAATATTGTGGCAACGCTCAAACCGAACATGAGCTAATTTTGGCGATAAGTTCATCAAACTAGCCGGATATTAATAAAAAAATTGTAATTACATACATCTACAGTTTGATTTCCTAACAAGGATAAACAAGTCATAAATACGGCAAGTTTATGCTTATTAGCAGTGATGACCTCATATTACATTATCAGCCTCTGTGAAGACTGAATACATTATAAAAGTGTCGGATTGGCGGATACTAAACTGTGGCAACATGATTTATTTCCCATTAGAATTTTTCTACGTTCATCGTATACATAGCAAGCGCTAAAAATAAACGCCAGCTATTCCATTAACATTAAGGCAACTCACTGGAACATATTATGTATATGAAAATGCCGAATATATTAAAAAAATATTTAATTCTACTGCAGTTTTGTGACCCACATGGAAATGTGGCTGATGAATTGAAAAACAAATAGAGCCTAGTTTGTACTTACATGACCCAACTAAAAGGGGCATAAGACATCGGAATAGGGCAGCAGACAACCAATAGTTTGCCATTGTGGATTTCTGCAAAAATGAGGCAAAATGTTAGAAAATGCCTAAAAATAAACTTCTCATAAATAATAGTGTACAAACTTGCTGGGTGGAGACTAATCAATCATTAGTTCTTATCATTGGTGCAGCTGTCCCAGTAGCTGCTGGAATATGATTTGAAACTAAACTAAAGCTAAAAGTGTAGCTATTTGAATTCTATTTTTTGGGCTGTTTGTTAAAAGGCAAGAGGGCTGATTGAAAAGCAACGGAGCAAAATAATTTTATATGGGGGCACTTCTGAAGCTTTTACGCTATGATTATGAGACTTTAATAGGGAAAAATCCTAATGTAACGCAAACTGATATCACCACAGTTTATGGCAGTAATGATTAATTCGGATGACCTAATAATGAGATTTGTTTACCTTTTCTTTGAGTTACATTCAACTAAATTACATGTCGAAATTGGTTCAATTTATAACAGTCTGGTTGGAACATGCGAATCCTACAACTTGCCACACTTTATGCTCACAACACCATGATGTTCACTATTTTTAGTTTAAAATTAGTAGGAACAACTGTCTGATAAGAAACGATGTGTTTTTTGATTTGAACTGAACACTGAACTGTTGTACACAAAACACAAATAAATTCACGCATGGTCTAACGTCAAGGTAGCAGCTGCCATTCAAACTGGAGGCTGCGCTGCCAGATTCGTCCAAGCATTCATCAGAAGTTTGTACATATTCGAGGAAATCCACATTTAGTGTCTTCTACCTAGGGAAAAGAGGAGTTTCATTTATTGCTAATGAATTTAGAGTCTGTAATATCTTGCCATGTACCCGATTTTCAATTTTCTGGCGTTATATTGTAGTTTACATGCTGTAGGTAACTCCACTACTCCATCCTACAAAATGCACAATCAGGCAACACCAGAGAATGCTGTTGGTTGGCCCCAGCTTCCATCTCATGCCGACTTGTGCAGTTGAACAAGGACGGCACAGATCCAACGTAGATATTTGATGCCTAGTTCCCATCATCTACAGGGTGAGGCCTTTATTCAACGCCACAGCCGATAAGCATAAAAGACTAAAATTTGAATTTAATTAATTTGATTAAAACATTTTTTTATTAAAAAAATTAAAAAATTCTTTTCTGTACTATTTTAGCAGAATTATTCTGCTAAAATATTAATTTCCTAATTTCAATTATAAAAAATTATAATTTGAATGTATACATTTTATTAAAACACATAGGCATTTGTTGAATCAACTAAATTTGCGGTTCCACCGAGTTATTCGCGTTTTTTTGCAACATTTTCCACATCAACCCTCATCTAGAATTCGTACATTTTTTCTCTTGACCTTTTTAGCGTCTTGTTTCGTTTCACTGATGCTCCATTTTTTGTCCAGCAAATACAAAATATGCATTAAAATCTGGTATTCAAGAATTTAATTAACTCATTTTACCATTTGAACCCTGAAACATCCTGGGCGAAATATTCCCCGCGAATCCTACTGATGGGTACATTTAACTAAGATAATAATTACTAAAAACATATACAGATAAAGTGGATAACGCATAAAAGGATAAGTTTATTGGATAGGAAATTACGTTCATGGGGGACGCTCAACTTTTGGTACTCGAAGAAAGTCCAGAAATATTTTATTAAACTTTAATAATAAATTGTTACAAACTTCTGTTATTGCACCAAACGGCTACTAAATTAATTAGAAACATGTACATAACGATATGCAGCCAATAATCGCGCGTTTTATGTTACTTAGAGGCGACTTTTTTAAGTATAAAATACAGATATAAACCTTAGATATGTACTACCAATAGCAAAACACTAAATCGATCATAATTATTGTTATCACATTAATTGGGACTCCAAAATCGTACCGTTAAGCAAGCAAAGAGCCAACGAACCCGTCCAGTCAAAGAAACTACATAAAGTTACTTCACGGCTGTCGTCTTAAAGCTAGATTAGAAAATTCCCTTTAAAAGAGTAAAAGAACGTCAACACATTGAAACTGATAAAGAATAATTAGAGAACACATTTTTGGGTCCAGGAACATTCATTTAAAAAAATACTCTGTGAACTTACTATGGATCGACAAAAGAAACCATAATGTATCTAATACCTTTGGTGACCAGCAAGCCTTCATGATAATGGGTCAACCTACCAGGATGCATCAACATCCAACCCATTTGCGTACTAGTTACACTACAATTGTACCGAATAAACCTACAGCCGCCACCTTCGTAGTCTTCACCAGCGCGATTTAGGGCGATGTTGATGGTATATGTAGAACTGTCATGGTGCGGTCTTAAGGAAGGCTGCTCATCGGGTTTGTACCTGAAAATATGAACAGTTGAAGACCGACAATTTACCGGCAAACCATCATAGCAGTTCTTACTTTACTTGGGATAATGCGTGTTCGCTTTCATTGACCAGATCATATCTGTGGAAGTATTTACATATATGTATTTAAGCAGGAATCGTTTGTAATGTAGGCAAGGAGTATGGTTTTCGACTTGTTTTTCCGAAGACTTTCGACTAGAGGCATCAACAAGCGCCAGAAGCGAAGGATATTGCGCAGGTTTATGCCGCAAAACTACTTTGAAGGTGTTCTCGAGACTTAATACACCAAATAATTTAGCTAGTGTACACATTTTACCAAGCCTTAACATTCAGTCTCTATTGGCAGTTGCTTCAAGCACTAGTGTGCATGCAGAGTGCATGATTTTCAATTGTACTAACCCACGGCGTAAATTAATTAAATAATCTCCAACAAGTTTTCCTTCTAATAAGCCTACCTAGTCCATCAATAACCACCACCTTCTAACCGAAGCTACACAGTTTAAATAATAGAACTTCCATACCTGACAACAAAGTTCATCAAACTCTTGGGTGGGTCATGAAAATATCCAGTGAAAATGTACTCCTGGATCGGCCTAACGTATTTCTGCAAAAAGTAGAGCCAGTGACTGTCCCATCCTACTTGGTTCATGTGAATATCACGAGTGGGCACCGCTTCATACCCGCCCTCCAGGCGCTCGTCTTCATTTTTACCGGCTGACCACTTTCCAAAGTTCTCCATCATGTTGATCAGCGACTTACAGAACCGCTCAGTTACAATTGGGAACCAATAAACGTCTGGGCAGGGCTGAAATGACGATCAAACGATTTATTAGTTAAACAAGTAAACTAGTCAAATACTTGCCAAGAAGAAAAGCGTGTGTACAGCTGAAGAAATACTTTATGTTTGCACAGTTAAAGAAATTCTGATTTATTTTCCTCACTGCGTGTACTTGTTATTATATTGTTATCTTTCCTGGGTCTCAGTCAAAGTGTGAAGTAAACATTTTGAATATCGAGAGACAACAGCGCCATCATCAGATTTAAAATTGACACAAACTCATAATTGGTAAATATTAACGTTCTTTTAGGTCTTTGCCTCCTTGCAACCTTATATTTGTCTCTGTTAGACTCTGTTTACTTCACACTTTGACTGAGACCCAGGAAGGATAAGAATATAATAACAGTTAAAGAAAGGAAAATATAATTCGATAGAAGAATATATAAATCTTGCAAGTTAATAGGAACTTATGGGACGCACCTGAAGGGCTTTTTTCTCTGGATTCAAATTTTCTGGATAATCCGCATGGATGAAAGCCTCCTCCCAGTCCTGTTCGTTGTCGAAAATCTGGTACATATCGGGCTCGGCTCGAGTGATATCGTAGGTGTCCGCATTGATCAAATGCCCAAATTCCACACGATTTGAGACATACATAAAGACATCGAGATCGCGAAGATTGCGACAGAATGCCATATCAGCATCAACGTTTTGTCGGTTATAAGTCAACTGCAATCGGTCGTATTTCTTCAAAAGGGTCGCATTCACTAAGTAAGCACCGTTGATGAATGGAACATTCCACAATCCCCTAAAATGAAAAAGATTAATTTGAATTAATTTT